ATTAAGGCTTATATCAACCCCTGCAGGATTGCTTAGGCCTGTCAACATCTTGAAGGTTATTAGGGCCGGTCAATCTTTGGAGGGTTATCAAGGCCTATCACCCTTTGTAAATTTGTAAGACCTATCAGCCTTTGCAGGCTTTTTAATGCCTATCTACCTCTTCAGGGTTATAATAATAATAATTCATTGTGTCGGGGGACAGGAAGCCAGAGTGTATTCAAACATGTTAGGCTTATTTCGAGGTCAACCTAGTGTCGAATTAGTGACCTCGACCAGGATGTAACCCCACAACAAGCTGACTAACTCCTGAGTACCTACTTACTGCTAGGTGAACAGCGGCATTAGGTGATAGGAAATGAGCCCAACCACTTCTGTCCCGCACGGGATTCGAACCCGGAATTCTCGATTTTGCGTCTAGAACGGATTCGACTGTACTACCGGGATAGACCCTTAAGGCCAATGATGCCTTAGTGGACTATTATTTATTAAGGCCTGTCATCAGGAAAATATTTTAGGATATTAATACTAATATTATTACAAATATTACAGGAACAACCGTAGACATCTTCAAGAGGAAACTAGATTGTTTCCTTCAAGGAGTGCCGGACCAACCGGACTGTGGTGGGTATGTGGGCCTGCGGGCCGCTCCAAGCAACAGCCTGGTGGACCAAACTCTCACAAGTCAATTCTGGCCTTGGGCCGGGCTTGAGGAGTAGAAGAACTCCCAGAACCCCATCAACCAGTTATCAACCAGGTATAACCTCTTGAAATTGAAATTGAAATAAGTTTATTGAGGTAAAATAGACACAAAGGGATGAGGTAGCTCAAGCTGATGTCAACCTCTTTGTTTTTCTTTTTCTTTTATTAACAAGCTTAGGTATACACAGCAATGTGCTGCTACCCCTATTATATATGAAAGATTATACAGTGTATACAGATTATACACTGTATAATCTTTCTAAAACTAGAAAGTTAAAACTTTCAAAAACTAGCTATAAGTTCATCTAATATTCCCATCTCACACGATGGTTAGTCATACATGGACTCAAGGGAGAAAAATACGAGCCTCAGTACAAACACAAATCAACTCGACTAAAAATCAGGTGAGAACATAAAATGTGAGGCTGATTTATCAGCTTCCACCAGCAAAATCTGGGTGCAGCACAAAAATATCTTCCAATATTCCTGAATGTATGAAGCAATTACAGAACTCAAAGTACCTCATACCATTTGGTCTGAAGTCACTTGTAACAAGGCAATCACAGGTATAGTGATGGAGAGTGTCCCAGCTCTTGTTCACATAGTTTACAATAAGAATGTTCACTAATGAGGATCCCCGCCTAATTCTGGCAATTACAATATCACACTGTCTAGTGGATGTGTTATGCTGCACGTACATATAATTCTCGGCTATCAACCTCTGATATTATTTATTAATTAATTATTAAAGCCTATCAACCTATTATTAAAGCCTATCAACCTCTGGAGAACTTATCAGGGCCTGTCAGCCTCTGGAGAGTTAATACGATTGTGCGTTTTGTATTTAGCCCATTTTTATTCCTAATAACAAAAAAGATGTGTTAGTTTAGTTCATTTAGTATGCACCCGATACCCATCTTGTGGGCGGTAGTGGAAAGAGTTACAGAGGCACATAATGGGCTCAGGGACTGAACCCTACAATTAATTTATCTAAGAGAGTTACAATCTTGATGAGCTAGTCACAAAATTCAATACGCATCGTCATATCATCAATGTGTTCGAGATCGACTACAAGTACAGTTTCTAAATTAAGCAACTGGCATATGGAGAGCTCGTGTCACAATTGTTTGTCTTAGTTTGTCCTGCACACCGCCCCCCCTCCTCCAGTGGGCAGCGGTGGATAGGTTACAATTACTTAGTTACAACCTACAGTTAGCAAACTGGGGATATTTGGCTGAGATTTCTGGTAGCAGATCATTTTGAATGAAATTTACACATTTTTGGAACATTTGTTATAGAATTAAGTGTCTCTGAATTTACGTATCTTTTCGCACTCCATCACATAGTGACGGAGGGTGTGCGAATAATTTTGTTGACACAGTTTACATTTGGTCAGGTCTACATCGTCAGATAATGAGAATTCCCAGAGATGCTTGCAACCGAGTCTAAGGCGAGCTGTAGAAGATGTGCCTCGCAAAAGTTTCGAATTTACCATATATTGAACTAATATTTTAGTCTTTCCTGGTCATTTTCTTTGAGACACATTTGCTATTTAATCACTAACTAAAATATTATGTAACTTGCCTCGGGATGTGTGTGTGCGTTTTTTTTTAATTAACATAGTAATTTGCTTGCCTTGTAATGCTTGCGAGAATTTAGCTTCAGCTCTTAAGTCCCGTCTGTCACCCCGCAACCGTCGCTTTTGTACTTTCATAATATTTGAAACTGCGTTGTGGCGTCTGCCTTCATCATTTCACCTCATGTAATAATAATAATATTTTATTTACAAGAAGGTACAATAGGTTGGTGAGATTACATTAGAGTGATATTTTTACATTCTTGCAAAGCCACTAACACGCATAGCGTTTCGGGCAGGTCCTTAATCTAACATATCAGGTAAGATGAAAACGTACATTGTAGCAAGGTTTTATATCAACAATATAAATTGACAGAGGTGATTACACTGGTAAAGATTAAGTACTTAATTAGTCTTAAGTACTAATATTGGGGAAGTGGGTAGTACAAGAACAGTGTGAGTTTGAAGCACAAGGTAGGAAACTATGAGGATGTAATTAGGTACTTTTTGGTTTTACTTTTTAACAAGGCATAGGTTGAAACATTTTTTAATTCATCAGGGAGTGAGTTCCAAAGACTCGGTCCTTTTATTTGCATGGAGTGTTTGTAATAATTTAGCCTGACTCTGGGGATATCAAAGTGATATTTATTTCTGGTGTGATGCTCATGGGTTCTATTACGTCTATCAAGGAAAGGTTTCATATCAAGATTAGCATTTAGGAACAAGGTTTGTATATGTAGAAAGTACATGAGAATGTGTGGAGTGCGTGTATGTTTAGCATGTTAACGGATTTAAACAGAGGGGCTGTGTGTTGTCTGAAGACAGAGTTTTCTTATAGTTCTGATAGCAGATTTTTGTTGAGTAATAATGGGCTTGAGATAATTTGCAGTGGTTGAACCCCATGCACAGATACCATATGTAAGATAGGGATAGATTAGTACGTAGTATAATGAGAGGAGAGCAGAGTTGGGAACATAATATCTGATTTTAGAAAGTATACCGACTGTTTTTTGAGACTTTTTTCCAATGTGTTGTATGTGGGTGCTGAAGTTTATTCTCTTGTCTATGTATAGGCCAAGGAACTTTCCCTCATTTTTATTAATAATATTAACATTGTCTATCTGAAGTTGAATCTGATTTGATGATTTACTACAAATAAAATGTAGTAGGTCTTTTCTATATTTAGTGTAAGTTTGTTGACATCCATGAGTGGGCTTTTTAAAAGTCATTGTTGACAATATTATTTAGTGTGTGTGAGTTAGGGTCAGAATAGATAAAGGTAGTATCATCAGCAGATACTATAGGTTTAAGAATGTTAGAAACATTTGGCAAATCATTGCTGTATGTAAGAAATAGAAGAGGTCCCAAGATGCTGCCCTGTGGCACCCCTACTATCAATGGTAGAGAGGGAAAGGATATTGATGGTTACATATTGGTGTCTGTCACTGAGATAAGAACGAATATAGTCCAGAGCAAAGCCTCGGATACCATAGTGGTGAAGTTTAAGTAAGAGATGGTTATGGTTTACAGTATCAAAGGCCTTTCTCAGGTCCATGAAGAGGCCAATTGGGAAGTGGTTTTTATCAAAGGCTGTGTAGATTATATTAATCTAAGCAGACTAATAATGGCATCATTGGTACTCTTTTTGCTAACGGAAGCCAAACTGGCAGGGACTTAATATGTTGAGTTTTACAAAGTATGAATAGAGCTGTCTGTAAATAATTTGTTCAAATATTTCTGAAAGTATTGGTAAATTTGATACTGGTCTGAAATTGTTTGTGTCAGCTGCCTCGCCTCCTTTATGAATTGGCGTCACTCTTACTTTTTTAAGGATATCGGGAAAAGTATGACACTTTAGAGATTTGTTGGATAGCAGAGCTATGGGTAGTGCAAGAGCAAGGGCAGCACTCTTTTATATCATAGATAGCATTTCATTAATGTTCCCAGCTTTTGTTTTAAGTAATGGAATTATTGATATAGTGTCTGGCTGATTGGTAAAAGGAGTATAGAGTTAGGATAGCTGCCTGTGAGATATGTAATAACGTGTGTTTCGGTCTCTGGAATTTCTCTGACAAGGCTAGTACCAGTTGATGAAAAGTAGCTATTGAATTCAGTTGCAATATCTAAGTCTGATTCAAGTGTGTAACCATCTTTGGAGAGTTTTATCTGATTGTTATGTGATTGTTGTTTAGACCCTCGGCCGAGCGGACAGCACGCTGGACTTGTGATCCTGTGGTCCTGGGTTCGATCCCAGGCGCCGGCGAGAAACATTGGGCAGAGTTTCTTTCACCCTATGCCCCTGTTACCTAGCAGTAAAATAGGTACCTGGGTGTTAGTCAGCTGTCACGGGCTGCTTCCTGGGGGTGGAGGCCTGGTCGAGGACCGGGCCGCGGGGACACTAAAAAGCCCCGAAATCATCTCAAGATAACCTCAAGATAACCCTATGTTAGTTGGTCTAAAAAAATGTGGAGGCCTGGTCGAGGACCGGGCCGCGGGGACACTAAAGCCCCGAAATCATCTCAAGATAACCCTAGGTGGTGGTTGTGTGGTGTGGTGTTGTTGTTTTAGATTCAGGCACTCGCAACAAAAAATTCAAAGCAGCACGGGCTATGGTGATCCCATTCATAGCTTCCATGTTTCTTCTCTATCTAATATTCCAATTGCCAGAATACCAATTTCTAGTGTTATTTTTAGCTTAACTCGTGGGTGTTAATTATACAGCGTGACAATCAAAGCTTTATTCACCTTATGGTTTTCCATTGTCAGGAATGAAAGTTTATCGAAGTCCCCTTAAACCAACTACTGACCTTCCCCAGAATGCAACCCACAACAGTTGCCTAGCTCACGGGTACCTAGAGGCATCAAATGAAAGGAATCGTGCCCAACCGTCTCTGTCCCGCCCGGAGATAGAACCCGAGATCCTCGGTTATTAGCCAATGACGCAGATCAGTGTAATTGGTTGTTTATGGACCCCAGGAGACGTCCAGAGTAAATAGTGTGTGTGTGTGTGTGTGTGTGTGTGTGTGTGTGTGTGTGTGTGTGCGAGACATGAACCCGAGAAATGTGGTCTAAAACGGCAAGACAGCGCCTGACAGCTGGGTGGACAGCGCTTCGGATTCGTAGTCCTGAGGTTCCGGGTTTGATCCCCGGTGGAGGCGGAAACAAATGGGCACAATGTTTCTTTCACCCTGATGCCCCTGTTACCTAGCAGTAAATAGGTACCTGGGAGTTAGACAGCTGCGACCGGGCCGCATGGGACGCTAAGCCCCGAAATCATCTCAAGATAACCTCAAGATAAGGAGACATGATTCGCACATGGCAATAGCTAAGACAATCAGACGTGACTCAATCAGACGTGACTCAATCAGACGTGTCTCTTGCACATAACAACAGCTAAGACAATCAGACGTGTCTCTTGCACATAACAACAGCTAAGACAATCAGACGTGACAACACCTAAGACAATCAGACGTGACAACACCTAAGACAATCAGACGTAACAACACCTAAGACAATCAGACGTAACAACACCTAAGACAATCAGGCGTAACAACACCTAAGACAATCAGACGTGACAACACCTAAGACAATCAGACGTAACAACACCTAAGACAATCAGACGTAACAACACCTAAGACAATCAGACGTAACAACAGCTAAGACAATCAGACGTGACAACACCTAAGACAATCAGACGTGACAACACCTAAGACAATCAGACGTAACAACACCTAAGACAATCAGACGTAACAACAGCTAAGACAATCAGACGTGACAACACCTAAGACAATCAGACGTAACAACACCTAAGACAATCAGACGTGACAACACCTAAGACAATCAGACGTAACAACCCCTAAGACAATCAGACGTAACAACACCTAAGACAATCAGACGTGACAACCCCTAAGACAATCAGACGTAACAACACCTAAGACAATCAGACGTAACAACACCTAAGACAATCAGACGTAACAACACCTAAGACAATCAGACGTGACAACACCTAAGACAATCAGACGTAACAACACCTAAGACAATCAGGCGTAACAACACCTAAGACAATCAGACGTGACTCTCGTACATAACAACGGTAATTCTCTTCTTCCCCTGAACGGTCAAATTCAGAAGGGCGGTCCACGGGTCGTCGACCTGCGCAGCTTCCTCTTCCTTTGCGCCGGTCTGCTCCTTCTGCGCCTTCGCCAGCGCCACGTTCAGGTCCCTGAGCTCCCTCACCAGCGCCTCATCCACCTCCACCTGTACCGCAGACCAGCAAGATCAGAGGCGCCGCGCTGATAAGATTCTAATACTAATTAACATTGTTAAAACAACTGTATGGAAGATCTGGGAGCATTTAAGGTTGGATACGAGTACATTACCGGTAGAGTAACGGTAGGTTTATGGAGTACATCTTCCCTGAGTACCCCCAGTGGTATATCCATCCTCCCTGAGTACCCCCAGTGGTATATCCATCCTCCCTGAGTACCCCCAGTGGTATATCCATCCTCCCTGAGTACCCCCAGTGGTATATCCATCCTCCCTGAGTACCCTCAGTGGTATATCCATCCTCCCTGAGTACCCCCAGTGGTATATCCATCCTCCCTGAGTACCCTCAGTGGTATATCCATTCTTCCTGAGTACCCCCAGTGGTATATCCATTCTTCCTGAGTACCCCCAGTGGTATATCCATCCTCCCTGAGTACCCTCAGTGGTATATCCATTCTTCCTGAGTACCCCCAGTGGTATATCCATTCTTCCTGAGTACCCCCAGTGGTATATCCATCCTCCCTGAGTACCCCCAGTGGTATATCCATTCTTCCTGAGTACCCCCAGTGGTATATCCATCCTCCCTGAGTACCCCCAGTGGTATATCCATCCTTCCTGAGTACCCTCAGTGGTATATCCATTCTTCCTGAGTACCCCCAGTGGTATATCCATCCTCCCTGAGTACCCCCAGTGGTATATCCATTCTTCCTGAGTATCCCCAGTGGTATATCCATCCTCCCTGAGTACCCTCAGTGGTATATCCATTCTTCCTGAGTACCCCCAGTGGTATATCCATCCTCCCTGAGTACCCCCAGTGGTATATCCATCCTCCCTGAGTACCCCCAGTGGTATATCCATCCTCCCTGAGTACCCCCAGTGGTATATCCATCCTCCCTGAGTACCCCCAGTGGTATATCCATCCTCCCTGAGTACCCCCAGTGGTATATCCATCCTCCCTGAGTACCCCCAGTGGTATATCCATTCTTCCTGAGTACCCCCAGTGGTATATCCATCCTCCCTGAGTACCTCCAGTGGTATATCCATCCTCCCTAAGTACCCCCAGTGGTATATCCATTCTTCCTGAGTACCCCCAGTGGTATATCCATCCTCCCTGAGTACCCCCAGTGGTATATCCATCCTTCCTGAGTACCCTCAGTGGTATATCCATTCTTCCTGAGTACCCCCAGTGGTATATCCATCCTCCCTGAGTACCCCCAGTGGTATATCCATCCTTCCTGAGTACCCCCAGTGGTATATCCATCCTTCCTGAGTACCCCCAGTGGTATATCCATCCTTCCTGAGTACCCCCAGTGGTATATCCATCCTTCCTGAGTACCCCCAGTGGTATATCCATCCTTCCTGAGTACCCCCAGTGGTATATCCACCCTCCCTGACCACCCCAGTGGTATATCCACCTTATACCCTGCCCTCTCAGTAAGCCCAACTAATCTACCTCCACCTTAGACTGTTTTAACTAATCCGGGGGACCCACTTGGCCCACCTTAGCTTACATTGATCTACTCGGGCTACTCAGTCCTGCATGACTCGGCCGGGTAACCTACCTGGCCGAACCCGGGCTACTCAGTCCTGCATGACTCGGCCGGGTAACCTACCTGGCCGGACCCGGACTCGGCCAGCTTCCTCATGGCCTCGGCCAGGGGTCCGGTGAGAGAGTGGAGACTCGTGTAGAGTTGCTTCATGTGTTCCCAGGAAGACGCGTACTGTCGCCTCACCAGTTCGATTACCGTCGAGGTTAGGGCCAGACCCACCATGATGTAGAGGGTGCAGCACAGCAGGGAGGATGTGGCTGTGGGGGAGCAGGTGTGTGGTGAGGTGCAGCAGGGAGGATGTGGCTGTGGGGGAGCTGGTGTGTGGTGAGGTGCAGCACAGCAGGGAGGATGTGGCTGTGGGGGAGCAGGTGTGTGGTGAGGTGCAGCAGGGAGGATGTGGCTGTGGGGGAGCTGGTGTGTGGTGAGGTGCAGCACAGCAGGGAGGATGTGGCTGTGGGGGAGCAGGTGTGTGGTGAGGTGCAGCACAGCAGGGAGGATGTGGCTGTGGGGGAGCTGGTGTGTGGTGAGGTGCAGCACAGCAGGGAGGATGTGGCTGTGGGGGAGCAGGTGTGTGGTGAGGTGCAGCACAGCAGGGAGGATGTGGCTGTGGGGGAGCAGGTGTGTGGTGAGGTGCAGCACAGCAGGGAGGATGTGGCTGTGGGGTGAGCAGGTGTGTGGTGAGGTGCAGCACAGCAGGGAGGATGTGGCTGTGGGGGAGCAGGTGTGTGGTGAGGTGCAGCACAGCAGGGAGGATGTGGCTGTGGGGGAGCAGGTGTGTGGTGAGGTGCAGCACAGCAGTGAGGATGTGGCTGTGTGGGGAGCAGGTGTGTGGTGAGGTGCAGCACAGCAGGGAGGATGTGGCTGTGTGGGGAGCAGGTGTGTGGTGAGGTGCAGCACAGCAGGGAGGATGTGGCTGTGTGGGGAGCAGGTGTGTGGTGAGGTGCAGCACAGCAGGGAGGATGTGGCTGTGGGGGGAGCAGGTGTGTGGTGAGGTGCAGCAGGGAGGATGTGGCTGTGGGGGAGCAGGTGTGTGGTGAGGTGCAGCACAGCAGGGAGGATGTGGCTGTGGGGGAGCAGGTGTGTGGTGAGGTGCAGCACAGCAGGGAGGATGTGGCTGTGGGGGGAGCAGGTGTGTGGTGAGGTGCAGAACAGCAGGGAGGATGTGGCTGTGGGGGGAGCAGGTGTGTGGTGAGGTGCAGCACAGCAGGGAGGATGTGGCTGTGGGGGGAGCAGGTGTGTGGTGAGGTGCAGCACAGCAGGGAGGATGTGGCTGTGTGGGAAGCAGGTGTGTGGTGAGGTGCAGCACAGCAGGGAGGATGTGGCTGTGTGGGGGAGCAGGTGTGTGGTGAAGTGCAGCACAGCAGGGAGGATGTGGCTGTGTGGGGAGCAGGTGTGTGGTGAGGTGCAGCAGGGAGGATGTGGCTGTGGGGGAGCAGGTGTGTGTGTGTGTAGTGAAGTACAGCACATTGTGAGTAACCTCGGGATAATAATTTAAGTACATGACGGGAGAAATATACTAAAGATATTTTGACGTATGTGAGACCAAGATTGTTATATGCAGCTGTGGTATGATTCTGATGAGGAGAGATACAACTTAGATTGACCTATAAGGGAAAAAAACTCCCGGAACCCTGATATTTGAACTATTCAGAGTGTCTGGATCTCACGAAGCTGTCTAAATTGACAAACAGAAGGTAAGCGTAGGGACATGATCAATACATGAAAAATACGAGCGAAGGATTAGTGAAGTTAATAATGAAGAAGTCCTCATACCTGTCGTAACAGATCAAGAAAACATAAATACAGATTTAAGAAACATAGATGGTAAAATATTGATACAAAAAATTATTAGTTGTTTGAATTGTCGACGTTTGTGGCAAAATTCAGGAAAATGATGTGTGACAAAATACAATGAGTTATGAAACCTCACATAATAAAGTTATAAAACATTGAGGCCATACAATGGGATTGAACGTGCTTTCTCAAGCACGCGCACTAAAGACTGAACCAGGATGAGCTACTTAAATTTGAAGAGAACATACGGGATATGACGAGCTTTCCTCACTTCTATAATTATAATTAGTAACAATCTTTTTTTATTTGTCCACACACACACACACACACACACACAAACACACGCACACACACAGACACACACACACACACACACACACACACACACACACACACACACACACACACACACACACACACACACACACACACACACACACACACACGCGCGCGCACGCACGCACGCACACACACACACACACACACACACACACACACACACACACACACACACACACACACACACACACACACACACACACACACACACACGCACACACGCACACACGCACACACGCACGCACCCACACAGACACACACACACACACACACACACACACACACACACACACACACACACACACACACGCACACACACACACACACACACACACACACACACACACACCCACACAACCACACACCTACACACACACACACACACACACACACACACACACACACACACACACACACACACACACACACACACACACACACACACACACACACACACACACACACACACATAGATGAACTGCAGAAGGCAGCAACACTAGCCCACAGAATGAGAGCGAAGCTGCTGATCATGGGGGACCTAAATCATGGAGAGATAAATTGGGAATCAAGGAATCCCCATGGAGGGGACGTAACGTGGGGAGCAAATTAGTAGATGTTATAGACAGGAATTTCCTGACACAACATGTGAAGGAAGACACAAGGGAAAGAGGAGGAGATGCACCGAGCCTATTAGACCTGATTTTCACCCAGAACGTAGAAGATATCGAGAATTTAGAGCATGAAATACCTCTAGGGGCCAGTGACCATTGTGTCCTAGTCTTTGACTACATGATGGAATTCAAACTTATGACCATGGGACAAGAGATCTGGGAAAGGAGAGCTGACTACAGGAAAGGGGACTATATGAGGATGAGGGACTATCTGGGTGAAGTGCAGTGGGAGGAAGAAATTAGAGGAAAAACAGTCCAAGATATGATGGACCTAGTCATACAGAAATGCCAGGAGGCCGAAGAGAGATTTATACCAACGGTAAAGGGAAAAAATAAGAAGGAATATAATAACCCATGGTTTAATAGACAGTGTCAGGAAGCAAAAATGGCCAGCAGGCGGGAGTGGAGGAAGTACAGAAGACAAAGAACAGAGACAACAGAAGCAGATACAACAGAGCTAGGAACGATTACATTAACATAAGACGAACATCGGAAAGGGACTATGAGAACGATATTGCAATCAAAGCGAAAAAACAACCTAAGTTACTACACAGTCATATAAGAAGAAAAATGTCGGTGAACGACCAAGTGACAAGACTAAGGAAGACAGAGGGGGCATATACTGAAAGTGACAAGGAAATCTGCGAGGCACTGAATGCCAGTTTCCATGGACTGTTCACTACCGAGCCTGAGCAGCTCCCATTGTTGGAAGGGGTTACCCTAGATGAAAGACTATCAGATATAGAGGTGACAGCAGAGGAGGTAATGAAACAGTTGACAACTCTAGATGCAACTAAAGCAGTTGGACCAGACAAAGTATCACCGTGGATACTAAAAGAAGCAGCACAGGCCCTCAGCGTGCCTCTGGCAATGATCTTTAATGAGTCACTTATGTCAGGAGAATTGCCCAGTTGCTGGAAGAAGGCAAATGTCGTGCCGATCTTCAAGAAAGGAGATAGGGAGGAGGCACTTAACTACAGACCTGTATCACTGACAAGCATCCCCTGTAAAATAATGGAAAGAATAATTAGGCTACGACTGGTTGCACACCTGGAGAACATTAGGTTTGTGAACAAACATCAACATGGGTTCTGGACAGGGAAATCGTGCCTAACAAACCTTCTGGAATTCTATGATAAAATAACGAGGATAAGACAGGACAGAGATGGTTGGGCAGACTGCATATTTCTGGACTGCCAAAAAGCCTTTGATACAGTACCGCACATGAGACTGCTGTTCAAGCTCGAGAGGCAGGCGGGGGGGTGGGGAAAAGGTCCTAGAATGGATAAGGAACTACCTAACAGGAAGGAGCCAAAGAGTTACGGTAAGGGGCGAGAAGTCGGACTGGCGAACAGTAACAAGTGGAGTACCACAAGGATCGGTGCTGGGACCAATTCTATTTCTTGTATATGTTAACGACATGTTTACAGGCGTAGAGTCCTACATGTCGATGTTTGCGGATGATGCAAAGTTGATGAGAAGAGTTGTGACAGATGAGGATTGCAGGATCCTCCAAGAGGACCTGAACAGATTGCAGAGATGGTCAGAGAAATGGCTACTAGAATTCAACACGAGCAAATGTAAAGTTATGGAAATGGGACTAGGAGATAGGAGACCAAAGGGACAGTACACAATGAAGGGGAACAGCCTACCTGTAACGACGCGTGAAAGAGACCTGGGGGTGGACGTAACACCTAATCTATCTCCTGAGGCACATATTAATAGGATAACGACAGCAGCGTACTCTACACTGGCAAAAGTTAGAACATCATTCAGAAACCTAAGTAAGGAGGCATTTAGGGCGCTATACACTGCCTACGTAAGGCCAGTCTTAGAGTATGCCGCCTCATCATGGAGTCCCCATCTGAAGAAGCATATAATGAAACTGGAAAAGGTTCAGAGGTTTGCAACGAGACTCGTCCCAGAGCTACGAGGGATGGGGTATGAAGAGCGCCTGAGGGAACTGTGCCTTACGACACTAGAAAGAAGAAGGGAGAGGGGGGACATGATAGGAACGTATAAGATACTCAGAGGAATTGACAGAGTGGACATAGACGAAATGTTCACACGGAATAGTAACAGAACGAGAGGACATGGATGGAAGCTTGAAACTCAGATGAGTCACAGAGATGTTAGGAAGTTTTCTTTTAGCGTGAGAGTAGTGGGGAAATGGAATGCACTTCAGGAACAGGTTGTGGAAGCAAATACTATTCATAATTTTAAAACCAGGTATGATAGGGAAATGGGACAGGAGTCATTGCTGTAAACAACCGATGCTCGAAAGGCGGGATCCAAGAGTCAATGCTCGATCCTGCAAGCACATATAGGTGAGTACACATAGGTGAGTACACACACACACACACACACACACACACACACACACACACACACACACACACACACACACACACACACACGCACACACGCACGCACACAGACACACACACACACACACACACACACACACACACACACACACACACACACACACACACACACACACACACACACACACACACAACCCACACACACACACACACCCACACACACACACACACACACACACACACACACACACACACACACAGTGTGCCACAGGGGCCTCGTAGCCTGGTGGATAGCGCGCAGGACTCGTAATTCTGTGGCGCGGGTTCGATTCCCGCACGAGGCAGAAACAAATGGGCAAAGTTTCTTTCGCCCTAAGTGCCCCTGTTACCTAGCAGTAAATAGGTACCTGGGAGTTAGTCAGCTATCACGGGCTGCTTCCTGGGGTGTGTGTGTGTGGTGTGGGGAAAAAAAAAAAGTAGTTAGTAAACAGTTGATTGACAGTTGAGAGGCGGGCCGAAAGAGCAAAGCTCAACCCCCGCAAAAACACAACTAGTAAACACAACTAGTAAACACACACACACACACACACACACACACACACACACACACACACACACACACACACACACACACACACACACACACACACACACACACACACACACACCTGAGAACCACTCACCAGGCACCAGGTCACCAAACCCGATAGTTGTGGTGGTGATAAAGGAGAAATAAAACGCCTCGGTGAAGGTCCACTGATCGAGGAACATGAAGAGGGCGCCCCCGAGCGCTATGAAGGCCACCAGGAGGCTCAGCGTGGACACCACCGTCACCACCGCCCGCAGCTTACCCCTGGGGGAGCGAGGAGACCGTAATGGCTGACACAGGTACAGGGACAAAGACAGGGGGGGACCAGCTGCTCGTCAGAGTATCTTATCTGCTACTCTTTTTTCTACTCTAATGCGGACGGGAAATGACAGCTCTCCTCGCTCTTATCGTCGTAATAAAGGATGGAGGAGAAGGCTATTGGCTCCTAGGGGGGCAGCGCCAGTTGTATCCGGCCCACCCAAACCAGGGCCGGATATAACTGTTTTTGGGCCCTCAGCCAAAATAACTAAATAGGCCCTCCGACCCTCTGGTCAGTGTGGCTACTCAAAGGGGTAAACACATGCATGTAGACAGCTGGTGGGCCCCCTTGGTGCTGGTGGGCCCCCTTGGTGCTGGTGGACACCCCTGGTGCTGGTGGGCTCACCAGCACCAGGGGGGGGGGTAACCCGGCCCTGACTCAAATACATTTATATATACTGTATGTCTAACCTACGCTTAAAACAATCCAGAACAAGCGCTGATATTTAAGAGTAAAGACTGTGTAATAGGATTATTATACTTGTGATCCCACTAATGTTACAATCTCAGTCGCTGCGCCTGCTGAGGACGCAGTGGACTTGGGGAGGAGACAACGTACTTGGGGAGGAACATGTCGAGGGCAGCGACAGGAACCAGGGAGGCAAGGACGTCCCCCATGTTGGCGATGACGGAGAGGGTGAGCGGTATCCCCACCAGAGCGAAGATCATGCAGAACACACGACCCCCGACCGTAGATGGCGCGATGTTCCCATACCCTGTGTGGAGAACACAAGCGGAGAACACGGTAGTGGGGGGAGGAGGGAGTCCCATACCCTGTGTGGAGAACACAAGCGGAGAACACGGTAGTGGGGGGGGGGGAGGGAGGCCAGGAGAAACCCTGGGAGAGGATGAGTGGAGAGAACATGGGAGGGAAGTTTGAGGGGCGAGCATGGGCTGAGAATCTAACTTCCGACTTGGGTTTAAGGTTAATGTCCACGAACGGAGGTCAAAGGTCACGGTAGTGAAGACGATGACGGTGAATTTACCCTATACCTGAATTTACCTGAGGGCTACCATCTCTAGTGGCCTCGATGGAGACAGGAAGCAGCCGGCTTGTCAAACGCCCCCTCCCCCTCCCTATTATTCCCGAGGATTTTTTTTCTAGCAGGGTGTAGGTCCATCTGGGCCCCAGGGTGTACTGACCTATAGTAGTGAGGACGGTGGCGCTGAAGAAGAGAGCCTGGGTGTAGGTCCACCTAGGGTTGATCTCCTCCTGCAGAGGGTACACCCCGGAGCCTTGACACCCCGCCAACACCTCCTCGTATCGTCCCAACCACTTGGACACCGTCTCAGCCGTCACCCCGAACTCTCCCTCCGTCACGGTCTCTGGCAACGTGGTTATTAAGGCGTTATTAAATGCATAAGTACCTATATATGTCAATTATCCTCTGACCATGGACCCCCCATACATGTGTTATGAATAAATTAATATTATTAATTACTATATATATATATATATATATATATATATATATATATATATTCATTGTAAAATATAGTCCTTTTTATTTTTAGAAGTCTTTAATGATTCCTTACGATACTGGACACGAAACGGAAACGGAACTGTCAGGAGAAAGCGCCAAGCCATTACGACTATATAGCACTTGAAAGGGGTCAGGATAAGGACTTGGTATGGGACGGGGGGGAAGGAATGGTGCCCAACCACTTGGTGAACGGTCGAAGGATTGAACACCGACCTGCATGAAGCGAGGCCGTCACTCTACCGTCCAGCCCATGTGGTTGGGCACCATTCCTTCCCCGTCCCATTTCCCTTATTAGGATTTCTCTCTTGAATTTTAGTCCACGAAGTTTCCCAAGGATTCCCCTTTCCCCCTAGAATTCCCGTCTGAAATTTTTCCTATAATTCTCGTCTAGGATTTCCCCCTAGGCATCATACACAGCATATACAAACAAGTTCATATGAATAAAAAAACTAGGAAGATCATTCAGGAATTAGCCTACTGTTTTATAATAAATCATTATATTGTATTCATTTACTAACGATTTTCTTCCGGTTCTTGTTGTTCTTGCTGTTGGTGCTGTTCCTGTTGGTGCTGTTCTCGCGGGGGAGACTGTTCCTGTTGAGGCTGTTGGTGGTACTGTTGTGAGTTCGTAAAGTTCGAGAGCTGCCTAATCAGACGCTGCCTCTCGTGGTGCAGCTGCGTCCAGAGCTGCTGCTGCTCCTGCTGCTCCACCTCGTGCTCCAGTGATTGAAACACCTGAAACACAGTGAGGTCAAGGAGCTGGAACGGGAGGACAAGGCGCTGGGATATGAGGACAAGGAGCTGGGATATGAAGACAAGGAGCTGGGATACGAAGACAAGGAGCTTGGACACGAGGCCATGGAGCTGGAATTTAGGGACGAAGTGAAGGCACAACACATAGCCACTTGCACTATCGGGTATCGAACACAGACCCTGCAAGACGCAAGGCCATCGCCATGTTGACCAGTACAAGTGGATGTGCATAGTTTCAGGGAGAGTGTGTAGCAAGTTTGATGAAGTTAAAATTATTGTTGCGACATCGGTTAGGAAAACGCCTAATGGAAACTAAGAGTAAGAGAAAAAAAAAAAAAATCTAATACAGATTATCAAAGCAAAAGTATGAAGCAAATTCCCTTTCGCAAATTCATATTGAAAATAATATTAAGTGGAACGAAATATTAAATAAGTTATGACAACAATAATTGATAATAACAGTAATAGTGATAGTAACAATAACAACAGAGAAAGATATCTTTCTTTTGTTGGAGGCAGAAGTTGTGGCGAATGTTAGTTACCTTAGCGCCGAGGCCTGTGTAGAGGAGAAGCAGCAGCAGCAGAGAAACATGTCCTACTGCCTTTCTGATCTGTTTATTTTGGCGCAGACGCTGCCACCACTCGCTCCACACCCCTGCCAGATGTATAATTCAAGAATGATGAAGAGACATCTGTTATTTTCATTTGTTATTTATCAGTGCCTAACAGCTTTTGTCACGTGTACAACATTCACCAACAGTCATAAAACTCTGCCAGACGTACGCTATTCCACTGCACAAGGGTGCTACCAGTCATGTGAGACCTCACTACACAGCACAACCACTTGGGCTGGACGGTAGAGCGACGGTCTCGCTTCTTGCAGGTTAGAGTTCAATCCCAGACCGTCCAAGTGGCTGGGCACCATTCCTTTCCCCCGTCACATCCTAAATCCTGATCCCGATCCTTTCCAAGTGCTATGTAGCACCAACCAACTATGTAGTTAGTGCTATGTAGTATGTAGTTATAATTGTTTGGCACTTTCTCCTGATAGTTCCGTTCTCCTATACAGCTGCACTACCAGACGTACGACTTTCCATTACACGGCAACGCTATCACACGCGACAATCCACTACATTGTCTGGCGTTACCAGACTAACGACACCTGACTACAGAGGCACTACCAGACGTACGACACCCATGCACAGCGATATGACACCACACGACACAGCTGTATTACCAGATGAACGACACCCTGTTACACAGAGGTACTACCAAGCGTACGACACTCCACTGCTCAGCGACCCTGCCAGACGTACGACACCCCTCTACACAGCTGCACTACCAGACGTACGACACCCTCTACACAGCTGCACTACCAGACGTACGACACCCTCTACACAGCTGCACTACCAGACGTACGACACTCCTCTACACAACCGCACTACCAGACGTGTGACACCCTCTACACAACTGCACTATCAGACGTACGACACCCTCTACACAACTACACTACCAGACGTACGACACCCTCTTCACAGCTGCACTACCAGACGTACGACACTGTATAACTCAACGTCGCTACGATATACACAGGCAGGTCAGATTTTGTATAGAACAATTATTTAAAACTATCATGTATTCATACGTATCCTTCCCTCTACAATATTGCTCCTCTCCACTTATAGTCCTTAATGTTGCTCTGTTAATGTAGCCTCTGATATGGTTCTACCCATCTACCTCTAATGGTGCACTATACATCAGTCCGGTGCAACAAAGTTCAATATATAAATCTTTGCATTTATCCTGTAATATATATCATTACATCTATTCTGTAATATATATCTTATATATATATATATATATATATATATATATATATATATATATATATATATATATATATATATATATATCTGTACTTCTGACACAGTCACTGCCAGTGTGACCATGCACGTACCTTCTTGGTCGCCAGTCTTGTTTGCTTCCTCCGTACACATAACTGTTCGCCAGTCTCGTTAGCTTCCTCTGACCGGGTTCACCTTTTGGCCAGAAATATTTTCATCAGATCCATTGATTAATTCCTCTTGGAATTATTATTGCTGTTCGCCGTTTTAACGCTAATGTTGTTTAGTGCTTTTGCTGCTATTATCGTTCGCTGTTGCTATCGCTGTTCTAATTTTTATATATCTGTTTTTGCCCTCTGTAATCTGTTTTTTTTTTACCACTAATATATATACTGTTTCACTGTTGTTTCAGTTTACTGGTTCACTGTTATCATTTACCGTTTCACCGTTATTTTCATCTACTGTTTCATTTCGAAAAGGATATTTATTTTGTTGATATTTGTTGTAATTGAAATTCAAAAAATGTTTCTCATCTCTTTCATTAGCATAAATTTATCGTTGTAACTGTTCTATTGTTACGTAAAGTATGGTGACAAATAAACACAGACACTAAGATACTATATATATATTTGGTCGAATATACAGAAGTACACAGGTGATACGTTGGTGTGAGTTGAGCGCACTGAGCGTTGGTACAGTATCTCGCAAGTGTCTGCTCTAGACCACACTTGAAAGTAGACTAGTTAATGTTCGCTACACCGCTGCTTATATTGCTCGGGCATCTCACCGTGTTGCCCGGGCAACGCCTCACCTCATTCATCTCCAAAGGTTGACAGGAACATTAACACTATATTTGGAGCGAGTATATTATTGGGATAATCTACTCGCTACAGAACTCCCCCTCCCAGGGGATGAAAGGAAAAATACTTGATCAAGGAACTTAGCTGGTCGGCGAATTGTACGCCCTGCTCGCGTTACATAACCATCAAAGTTAACTTCCTCCTCTTCGCTGATGTCATCTAACTGGGGTCGTAGGGTGGGAGGTCGCACAGGATCGTCCGTCGTCGTAGGATCAGGTTGTGGTGCGGCTGGTAACTGGGGTCGAAAAGTGAACTGCGTAGTCGGCGGATGTGTCTCTGGATTTAGCAGTGTCGCAGACGTTGAGACGAAGCCTGAAGCAGAGCAGAGAGCTGAGTGAGGCCGGAGTCGTGGAGCTCTATGTGGGAGAGCGTGGCGGCTCGATTGAGAATTGTGAGTGTCTAAACTCGGGGAGCGAGAGCGTACGTGGCGGCTCGATTGAGAATTGTGAGTGTCTAAACTCGGGGAGCGAGAGCGTGGCGGCTCGATGCGGTCGTAGTCTGCTGTCTGCTCTGTGTCGAAGCTGTAGCGTCTTGGGTTGATTAGGACTGTACACGCCGAGTACTACATTGTTGACTGTGGAAATTGTAGTCTGGTACTAAAAGATGTAGGCAGTGTGTGGACAAGCTCGGTGTAGCAGGAGAGAAGAATGTGCATAATTGTTGCGTCCTTGGGTCGCTGGTGGAGCATTTAGATCCGGGGCGGATGGTCTCGGGCACCAGGACATTAGGAGGTAATGTAGGCACGTAGTTAGGACAACGAGGTAATCACATCTAGAGCTGAATTGTCCTGAAGGCGACGAAGTGTTGGAAACGCAAGCTGTAGGTCCTGTACTGCGCAAAGTGCTTGAGTCGGCAGAGTATCAGAATGCAGTGAACGTGTAGATGAATCTGACGAAAGAGCGGCCTTCGTGGGCGCCCCTGTAGAACAAGCAGTGCCCTGGCAGCGACGGAGAGTCGGCAGGACAGGCTGTAGATCACACATTATGTAGTTACTGATGAAGCTGCCAGATGAGTGAGTAGTGATCGTGGAGCAGCAAGCCGTAGTAGATGAAAATGCAGAGACGATCGCGATGAAAATCATAGCTGTCGCAAGGGTGTTGGCAACGTTCCACGACAGGTGGCTGCGGTCCACAGCAAGCAGCAGCAGTGGAGGTCCAGTGAGAGTCCATGTTGTAGTCCATCGTGGCTGGGTATCGTCGAAACTCTCTGGGGTCACCAATGTAACGGTTCTTGGTTACGTAAAGTATGGTGACAAATAAACACAGACACTAAGATACTATATATATATTTGGTCGAATATACAGAAGTACACAGGTGATACGTTGGTGTGAGTTGAGCGCACTGAGCGTTGGTACAGTATCTCGCAAGTGTCTGCTCTAGACCACACTTGAAAGTAGACTAGTTAATGTTCGCTACACCGCTGCTTATATTGCTCGGGCATCTCACCGTGTTGCCCGGGCAACGCCTCACCTCATTCATCTCCAAAGGTTGACAGGAACATTAACACTATATTTGGAGCGAGTATATTATTGGGATAATCTACTCGCTACATCGTCTCTATTTCAATCAGCTCTCAAGATATGAAAAGCGTCCATATTGTAGGCCTATATGATTTTACTGTAGGCCTAGATATGTCGTTGATCCCAGACCAACCCACCGAGCAAACTATGATGTCATTGATACGACATGACACTATGGGTCTCACAAGGCATGGGTGACGTCATAGTTTGTTTACATATATATTTACTAATGACGTAATGGAATATGCTTACCTTTCCATGCAATTTACATACCCAGTTTTATGTATATATTGTTTATATTAGCTTACAAGTTTATATGTTTATAATTTTGTTTCGGAAGAAAGTGGGGTAGGTATTGCCTGACCCAACACGGCGCAAGATCATACTGACTTGTTCTAAATTCACACCCGCGCCATCAGCCTCCATCCTGGGGTGGCAACCCAGAATACTCTCTTACGTCATCGCTAAGATGTAAACAAACAATGGCTTCAATCAATCATCGTAAACATCAATGTGTAAGATTTGATGTTTAATTTCTTGTCTAAACTTTCGTTTCATATTGTTTTATAACTTGTTTTAATAATCTATCACAACTTGTATATGCTTTTATTCCTTGGTCAAACTATAAAGTATAATACATAAGAGCATAAGAATTAATGATACTATAGAAGGCCTATTGGTTCATGCAAGTCAGCTCGTATTTATATCCCTCCAGAGTCATTTGTATACATGTTTAACCAACGCTTGAAACAATCACGTTATGCCACGAAGATTATGTTGCCCGGTAATTTGTTCAATAGATCAATCACCATGTTAGCACACTGTAACCAACCCCCAGTAGGAGGCTTCTATGATGGAACTAATCTATATTTGATTACGTATATTTTTTCTTTCGGTCTCGAAGGCACCACATATAACTTTGCTCGGATTATTTAATTATAATAACTGCCGTTGACGAAGACAGGAAGCCTGTACAGATTAGGCTTGTGTCGAAGCCCTCCTGGATTGTTCCTGGATGAGGTTCTGCGTGAGGATCTTCTACTTCCCCAGCCCGGTCCGGAGCCAGGCTTAATTTGTGAGAGCTTGGTCCAACACACTGTTGCTTGGATTGATTGAGTGATAGAGATCAAGCCACCCTTTCTATAGAGTATATTTTGAGAGCTTTGAGATAATCCCAATAATTTAGTTGCTTTACCGTGTATTTGTGTGCCGTATATATTCTCTGCATTCCCTCTGTTTCAGCAGTCTCTCTTGCTCTGAAGGGGGAAATAAGTATCGAGCAGTACTGAAGATGGGAGAGCGCCAGTGATTTGAATGGTATGAGCATTGCGATGGATTTAAAGGTTCTCGTAATCCATTTTATTATCTTTTAGCTGATGCAATATTTTTTTGGTTATTCTCCCTAAACGATAATTGTTAGTCATCATTATATCCAGCTCCTTTACATGTTGCTTTCCTACTATTGACAGATTTGATTCTGTTTTGAACTCTGTATTTTGTTTAAGGTCTTAATTTTTACCGTACCTAAGTACCCAGCATTTACCACTGTTAAACATCATGTTATTTTCTGCTGCCCAGTCGAAAACTATATGAATATCTGCTTGTAGTTTATTAATGTCTTCTATAGAAGTAATTTTCATTCTGATTTTTGTGTCATCTGCAAAAGATGACACAAAGCGACTTTGTCTGATATGAGAATAAGGAAAAGCAGTGGTACACGGACCGTGCCCTGTGGTACAGAGCTTTTAACCTTGCCTGTACTCGATTTTATTTGGTTGACTGTTACTCTTTGTGTTCTGTTTCTAAAAATTGAATATCCATTCTATCCACCTGGGCTCTAGGAGACTCGAACCATGGACCCCGCGCGTCCATGATGAAACCCCACGCGTCCCACATAGTTTTAATATCCATCGCCCTACTTTACCTGTTATCCTTACTGATCTCATTTTACGGGCTATCACTCCATGGTCACATTTATCAAATGCCTTTGCAAAGTTCGTGTATATCAATCTGCATTCTGTTTTTCTTCTAATGCATCAGTGATTTTGTGTAGTGGTCGAGTAGCTGCAAAAGGCATGATCGTCCCGCTCTAAATCCATGTTGACCTGGGTTGTGGAGGTCAATGGCCTCTATAAAACTGGAGATCTGACTCCTGATCACTCTCTCAAAAACTTGTATTATGTGGGACGTTAGTGCGACTTGTCTGTAATTCTTATCCAATGTTGTGCGGCCTTCCTTGTGTAGGGGAACTGTATCTGCTGCTTTCAGCGCTTCTAGTGTCCCTCCAGTGTCCAAGAGTTTTCTCCACACTATACTGAGTGCCTCCACTACTGGCACTTTGCATTTTATTCTAAATATTGAATTCCATGAGTCTGTACCCGGGACTGAGTGCATGGATATGAGTACAATATGTTGTCAATTTCCCTTTCAAAATCTGCAGAGTTCGTGTTCATATCAGTTGAACTACTCACCCCTCACTAGGATGCAACCCACAACAGTTGCCTAACTCCGGCGTACCCTATTTTACTGCTAGATGAACAATAGCATCAGGTCAAAAGAAATGTGTTCAATCATTTTTACCCCACCCAGGGATCGAACTGGGGATCCCCCAATTGTGAGTCGAGGACGTAGACCGCTGTAAATTAGGACTCATTAATATACACTTTTCCCTCGTCACACCTGTGCTGAGGTAGTCTATACCTGCCTCGTCCAATTACAGGCAAATTCCACTTAAATTTATCATAATTTGCGTGATGAAAGTAGTGTTAATCGTCGTAGTGATTGCCTACAGGAGGGTCGTTGTATAATTCATTATATCTCGGCACTATGCAAGGATAATACAAAAAACTTGTTTCAGATATATAATCCACAACCCTTATGTCCTCTACCTGTGTTTCCTTGATAATGTTGTGAAACAAGAAACCGTTCGTCATTTTCGTTTCATTTTCCATGCATAACTCAGGGTATATTGCGTAATGTACACTGATTCCCTCGGCACTAACGAAGGCGGGGAGACGGATGTGAAAGGGTAGGGGAAAGTGAAGGGGTAGATGAAGGTGATGGGACAGGGGAGGGGGAAGAGGCAGGTGAAGATGCATGTGGAGAGGGTAGGTGGAGTTGGAAGGGCAGGTGCCCGTGTAGGTGAAGATGCAGCATT